GCGACATCATTAAAACATTCCACTTAAATTTTGTAGTAGCAATACAAAAATCTCACCTTTGCTTTAGGAGTAGAGCTGTATGAATCCAGAATGTTATCTTCGAGTTCAGCATCGCTTATACCTTAGTTAAGGATTAGACCAACAATCACCAAAACTGAGCAGGCATTTTAAAGTTTTAGAACACTGATAAATATTCCATGGTCACTAGGCTGTAGGGCTTAAAACAAGGATGATACCAACATGCAATAACAGGATTTGGTGGGAAGCAGACATGGTAAGTAAAAACAAACTGCAGCCCCATCCGACCGAAGGCCAAGATAGTAGAAAGCGGGATCCGAACCAGAGTTGACGGCGCGCCATGTGCTAACTCGCTCGAAACGAACGTCATATAGCTATGCAACAAGGCGGTAATCCACCAGACGCAAAGCACTTGCTTTCTTCTGCCCATACGCTGCTGACCCGCAAAGACAAATTCCTGATAACGTGATTGAAACTCTAGCACAAAGACTACAAAATTTCGCGCAATTACTTGAAAATGTATATCCCTCTTCTGAGCACATGTAGTTTTCCCAACGACACATGCAATGAAAATACGTATGTCAGTCTTCAAACGTATCACGAAGAAACGCATGTAATAATTACCATGATCGCCTGATGATAGGTAAACTTCTACCAGACTACAAGGAGTAACAACCCAGAAGACAGCCATCTAGACTCACCGCCGTAAAAACATCAAATCCTACTAATTACCTTCCTGACATTACACGTATATCGCCGTAATTCTCCACAATCCCTCTTGGCAAACGCTATGAAAATACCTTAAAAACGGGCAAGGTCGCTTATTTACACAGCATTTCCAGTTCATCTTCACCATACTACTATACTATGCAGTAGGAAAATAGACAAATGAGCCAAGATCTTCCTCCATATTTAAATTTAAATTCGGCATACCGAAGAGGCTGGCCACAACTATTTCAAAATATATTGGCAGTTATTCTCCATAACTGAATGGCATCTTGAAATGGCTATTGTACATGTAACAAAACTCGGAATGCAACATGCATGCCTGTCTCGTCCGTATAGATCCCAGAGGTATTACTAGTAAAAAAGGGTCGTAAAATGTCGAAGTCTGCACTACAAATACAGATATTTGCGAGAACGCTACACGCTCCGAATTCCGCAACATTTTTTTTCGACTGAATACAAAGGATACCCGGACTCCTTGCCCACGTAAATAACAAGCGTGTTCTCTTGTGACCTTGACGACTGCTGCTGGGGTTGGGGCTGATGATCCTGCTTCTTGCCGAACTCTTTGCGTTCCATCTGAACGAGCGTATCCAGCGTAGGGTCGGCACCCCTCAGCTGTGACACGCTGAAGGCCATCCATACCTCCACCAACTCTTCTTCGTCTATACCATTCAAGTTGCATATCTCCTCACCTGCGATAAAATAATAATACCGGCTCTTCTAACTGCATTGCACAGGCATTTCTGGGGTCAAAACGAAACTCCACAATCTCTTCCTCCTCAATACGTACCCCCTCACCTTCTAAAAAAACCCTAAAAAGGCAACGCATTTCTTAGGCCACCCACCACTAAAGATGTGTACCTCTTCACCTGCAATAACAACTATCCATCGACACTGGGATCACATTTATAAAATTTGAGGTTTTTATTGTGCCAAAACTTCAGAATATTGTACTGCCTCCATCCTCTCGGCCAAAACTGATAAAGTCAAGGTGCATATCTCCTCACCAACAAAATTACCTACCCTTCTAAACTATTGTGGCAAAGTATTTACAAATAGCACATTTCCAAACATTTCTAAAATTGAACTACAACTGAATTCCTGCCATTGTAACCTTGACATATTTTTTACCACTGCAGATGCTGAAGACAAATAGCCACGAAGAAATTCCACTTGTTAGATGGGCAATCACTTGAAAGTACTAAGGGAGTATCTAATTCCTTCTAAATGTTAATTCTTTACACACCACACACACAGAGCACCCTAAAAAAACACATAATGCTGACATCTAATCATTACGTACTATCTCTCTAGTTACTTTGGTTAAATTATACTTTGTTAAAGTTCTGAGGTTCTCCTAGCATTAAAAATGTTTATACTGGTCTTCTGAGTTGTAATGCCATGTGGGGACTTTTGGGTAGATATCAACACTTCACATAAACACACTGTCTCCATCATCAGGGCAGTTCTGAAGATGTGTAAGAAAAAAACTTGGCATTGTTAAATGCACAATCATATGCCAGACAAAGGCTGTGCTCCTAGGCTCAAATCTAAACAACGGCACAGATGTTTTTCACCAATACCAATCAACCTACACATTGCTAAAATCCAACATATTAGGAGTCAGCTATCACTGACCTCCCCACAGTTAAAAAAAACATGCAATTCAGGAAATTCTTAGGCACAACTGTAATTGTGTTACAATGCCTGTTATTACAAATCAACCAGCATGTTTATTAATAGAACCAGTGCCCTGTAATTCTTAACAAAATTAGAAACCTATCATCCAATGCATGAACACCTATCATGCAAGATTCAATTTATCTACAGGATCCATTATTTGGTAGTCCAGGCAGCAATGAGTGCCTGCCTGCTGTCTCCACTAACCAATCACTTCATCATATTATTCTGTTTCACATGCCTCTAGGCAATTTCCCCCCAAACTCAAACTTCCACTAGCATACAAATTTCATGTTATGAGACACAGTATACGTATACATGATACATGATACATTTGTAATTCCCTAACAGTCCCTCCATTATCAATTTACACTTTATTTTAGACTGGCAGGATCAGTTACAATTCAATCTACCTTTTGTGTTTGAATTCCTTGCCACCAAAAACAATATGGCAGGTCCATGGACTTCTGAGTCTTGTGTGCAAGATTAATAATGAGAGACAGCATACCCTTAATTTAATTAGTTGCTTTACAGTGCTAGTAATGCACTTTCAGACCATCATTTCTACTAGGAACACCATTAAATATATTAGTAATATGAACACCTAAAATTACACAAGGTTTGTTAAAACAATACCATGTGACAAGTTAGTTAAATGCTAAAAATTCAAAGGCCACTACCGGACATTTTCAGTTTTAATAGATAAAGTCTATTAAAACCAAAAATGTCCGCTAATGCCTCGCATCCATAAAAAATCTGGCAATACCAGACAGTGTCTGTAAAATGTTATCTGTTAAATTCTTACTATAAAAAGGCAATAACAGTATACTTTTGCAAATATTTCATGTTTAAATTTGAAAATAGAGTACTCACATTTCATGAGACACATAATCAAGACTTTTGAGCAAATAAGCAGGAAAGAGCTACACAAGTGTTTCCTTCATAAGTAGAACACAAGAATATGTGTGCTTGACTACTACAAACCTACACAAAATTTTAAATAGTTATTTTTCAGAATATATTTAAAATACTGGGAGCAGCAGAGTGTTAATACAAGTATCCCATTGATGCACCAGCTATTAACTGTCCCTCACCTTGAGTATTACAACGGTATAAATATGGTTATTTTGCTTACTAGGGTCAGTGGTGGAACATGCATTATCTCAGGGTTGACATGGATGCCAAATGGGTGTGGTATTAAAGGTGAAGGTACTCCTGAAATGAACCAGCAATAAATAAATAAGAAATAATAATGCTGGAAACTCAAATCATCCCCTGCACTTAACATTATTTATATGACTAGGTTTGAAGTCACATCTTACAAATTCTTCTCTAGTAACTAACCTATTTTGCAAAGAAATATAGGACCTCTGTAATCACTGGAAGCAGGAATCTGGAAAGCTTGGTGGACCACAACTTAAAGATCCTTTCTCATTTTATACTCGTTTCAAATCCACACACAATTTGTGGATTTCAATCAGACTCTTATTATTATTATGTCTCACCCACCAGAAGACATCAGTGACCAGTTAACATTTTCTGTGCACACAATTCAAATGAACTGATTCTGAGATAAGAGGAAGAGAATAACACAACCCTTCCCTGTTCCATGAACATGCCACAGACTGGACAACTGGGGTTCAACCCCCGAGGGTAGGGGATTTTTCCTCTTAGCCTCTGCATTCAGACCAGTTCTGGGGCCCACCCAGCCTGTCAAATGAGTACCAGGGACCTTTCCCGGGGGTAAAGTGTGGCCAGGGCATGATGATAACCACTCATCCCCATCTAAAGCCAAGGTTAAGAATGAGTCGGAGCTATACCACCTCTCCCCCCAAGTGTCTACTCGGCATATAATTGGACAGCTCTAATTTACTTTTATAATGACCAAAAGCGGCTGGGTTTCTGACACTTTCGCATATCTATTCAACTACTGCAACATTCCCTTGCGAACCAAACAGCTTCAACCACTTGTTGTACACTTATTTGTGTACGTGGCATTTAAAGAATACAGTTACATCAAGCATGAAGCAGATGTCAGCATGCCAGTCCAAGACAATGCCAAAGAGCAAGAACAAAGTGTTTAAGCATTGAGATATAAGCATTCAAAGTATGCTACATATTACTAGTTAAGGCAATTTCATAATTTGCATTTTGCTCTCTCTTTGCGCACCACCCACTATTGTTCCTGCCAGTCACTTCAGCAAAGGAACTGTTTGAAAAATTTAAAAATCTGGAATTATTTTTGATCTACCTTCTGTCATTAAGCCTCCTGAGCCTAGAGTCTATTATATTTTTATGCTGAAGAAAGTCTTTAGGAATAACCTGAATAACCATCAACACAAATGGTTTTTATGTCAGTACACCATTCATAAATAATAATTCTGCCTCCATCATCAAAGCCCTGATGCCACAGGCAGCAAGCACCTCTACAAAATTAGTAAATTTCTACCAGACTACACAGTGCAACATCCCAGGAGACATCCATCTTTCTGTCAACACATCTCTTAGCACAGCTATTCTAGTCCTACATGTTCAAAATACAAGTATCAAGTTGTCAACTTTGTTAACGTTGGGGCACATAAAGTGTCTACTCAAAACTGAAAAATAATTTCCATCACTGCTGTAGAACAGTAATCCTTACATTACCAAAAGTGGATAAAAAACAACCAAACAAAATCAAATTATAATACTTGGGTTAGGATCAGTTCAAACACACATCTGAAATCAGTTATAAGACAGAGATTCAGGCAAATCTGAATGACTTGGATGATATACTTTCATTCCAACAATGCATTTGCAATTTCACTAAGATGGGCAAAGTTTGAAATTCCTATCCACTGCTTCTCACAATCCCACTTCTACAATGAAACTTTAAATTCAGACAGTGTTTCATTCATTACAAAAATATTACATAAAACCATACAGAGTATAATTTACATAGAATTTCAACATAAATAAATAGTTCCAAAACCATGGTTGAACTGCTAAATAGAACTGAACGTCCAAAATGAAATTATCACACAAATGCATGTGCTACAAACACAATCATTCGTTTGTAACGCTGATAAAAAACCTTTAATTTGTTAATAATATTAACTTGAAACAGGTAAAATTTCTCGGCGCTACCACGCTAAACAATCAGCGAACAAGTACTAAACGGCGGAACAAACACGTCTTCAACCTCTTTAAAACAACTCATGCTTACTTTTCCACACAAAACAAACCGGCATAAAGTTTTGAAATAGGTCAGAAAATAAATTTTCTTCTCAAACACAATTAATGCTTCAAATACGCGACTACGTACGACACATGTGTATATATCCTACAGTCGCTGATTAAATTACATAGCAACATATAAATATTTTTTTTATACTTGGCAATTACCAACAAAGCGCCACCGCTTTTTCCAAGGTAATCGCCTTCTAAAGTGGGAAAATTGTATCAGATGCTCCTTTGGAAACATAAATTTCTAAATATAACCAACTTACATTTGCCCAGAACTTCTTCGGGTACGTTACTAACTCCAAGGTACGAAAACTGCTCCTTCAAAGTTTCCTTTCTCACCATCTTGGCGCTTCATGAAAACGCGCGCAAATGCATGCACAAAGCCGCGCATGACTTTGACCTTGACTTTCCATTGGTTAATAAATTTTATCGTGCCACACGTACTATTTGAAACAATGTTAAAATTATATAACAAGCTGATTTACCTATATGTTGAATGTAACCGAAGATATACACCTATATAGACTTAAAAAATTCTACTTGTTGTACAGACTAGCTTAAAGAATACGCTGCCTCATTCTACACGCCAACTTCACACAGTGGTCAAAATCACAGATGTATAAGCACAGCCGCGATTATAACAAGAAAGACGATCTATTGAGCATTTCGTAGATACCAAAAAAAATGAAAGAACAATAAGTTAGCAAACTGTTAGCTGCAAAGTTAAAAATATTATGAAACAAGCATTACAGTATGAAGCAGGCCAGTACACACAATATTCGTTACGTAAATTAATATAAAATTGTAATATAATATGAGTTTTCGTTCGTCTTCACAAAATACAGAAAAACTACAATTGTAGTAACCCACAAACCAAAGAGAAAAATTGTTATTATTTCTATGACTCCACCTCGTACACTTCTATACTGACAATGGAATGTGAGGGAGTAACGGGTGATGTTTGTGATGGAGGCTTTTCAAGGAATGATCCTATCCTCGGAACTGGGAAGTATCAAGTCATTGACAGAGAACGAATCGTTCCTTCGTGTAGCACAGCTACGTCTCACGCAATTCCGAAACAAAGTAGAACATGACACTCTGAGAACGGGAGTCACAATGTGAATGACTCCTGCACATTTAATACCCGTAGCTAGTGTAAAATGAGATTGCCATGCGGTTCCTTTCATGTTACATACAGCATCGTTCAAGTGTTTTGTATGGAAATGTGTTTCACGATCAACTTATTTTCTTCACTACTTGTACAATGTATTTCATAAATTAAGATCACATCCATTTTTAGGTTAAGGCCGAAATGTGTCACTAAATTCCCGAAAGATACCCAAGTCACTGTAGATAAGCCAGTTCTAAATTTAGATCACAATCAATATAAAAATTTCATGGTATATCATCAGAACATTAGAGACCTTTCAACCCAAAACTTAGAGAACACCCAGAAAGAAAATCTCCTGGTTTTCCATCAGAACATCAGAGGACTTTTCCCAACTACTGAAGAATTGATAATTACTCTTAAAAATGCCCAATTACCTCATATTCTTTGTCTAACTGAACATCATTTGAAAGCACCAGATATCTTACAGGTAAATTTAGACAATTAACCACTAGTGAGTAGTTTTTGCAGGAAAAATTTAGCTAGAGGAGTGAGAGCAATTTTGCAAGGAGCAGGACATAGAATGCTGTGCTGTACAATTTGATATAAATTTTCTAAATTATGTTTTTTAGCAATATACAGAGCACCAACAGGTGACTTTAAAACATTTATTAACAAGTTAAACAGCATTATGGACTACCTTTACAAACCGAAAAC